TAAAAAGAGAAAATATGTATCTTGGCTTATAGTTCTAATGGTTCTATTTCAGTATAAAGTGATCAAATTTTTGAGGCCTTCAATAAAAGCAGCATGTCCAAAGTATAGAATGGAATCGAACCATTTTCTTCACAACCAGGAAGTAGAAAGCAAGAGAAAATGGACTGAAGTACTAATGGCCCCTTTAAGGGCAAATGTCCAGTGGCCAGATCTTCTAGAAAGCCATAGCTCACAAATACTACACAGCACCATAGTGTCAGCGTAGAGGAAAGCCCTTGACACATTGAATTTGAGAGACATTCAGTAGCCACACTATAGAGTACTTTTTCTTCGTGTTGTGATGTCACCCAGTGATGAACACAATCCTATTCAATAACCCAAGTGAAATTATCTTCTGTACCTGCTGATGCAAATACATTTTACTGTGTTCACACAGCAATAGATATTTCTTATAAAAGAAAGAATTGAGGACAGGATTTATTTCTTGGTGGTGTTCCTATATAAGCAATGACAATCAAGGTTTAAAATAGAAAATAAAAATAGTGGAAATAACTTGGGACTCTCAAAATGATTATCTTTTTTGAAGAGAATTCTGTCGGAGCTTAACCCCAAGACCCAGAAAATGGTCTTGATGTCAAGTGTATTATTTACTTTATGCCTGATTCACTCATGGCCCCTTATAGAATAACATAATAAATTTAAACCATAAAGGAGTTCAGCGCATGCAAGCCCATATGGTTATCCTAATTACCTTTTCTTCTACAATGGAGATACCAGTTCATGTACAGATAACCAAGGGAAATGGTGATCAGGCCCAAGACCATGAATGTGGACACAGGAGCATATAGAGGCTTGCTGTGGGCTGAAGAGCCCTATCACATAAAATCACAAATGTCTGTGAGAGGGTGATTAAGAGTCCAGAACAGTCTGCAGATCGAGTTCTCAGATGGCAAGTCAAGGTATTCAGATTCTTATCCCTGATCTGGCTTATTATTGGAGATCTGAAGAGCTCTCTCCTACATCAGAAGCAGTACCATGTACACTCTTACTCAAGACTGCTCCACCTGCCTCAGATGGATCACATACCAGTCCTGGCTGGGGATGTTGCACCCTTTATGTGTCTTTGTGTTTTCTATCACAGGCCTGCTAGTGACCTTGGAAAAAGCCAGCATAGGCAGTGGGGTGAGGAATAATCAGAAGCCTGTTCACTTCTCAAGGGTGGTCAATCCTATCACTCCTTTTTCCCTTGCCTAACCATGCTCTGACTTTAGCCCTGAAAGAGGTCCCTCCCCTGAGATGAGCCTCACCACAGCATTGGAATATAGTCACTCCACTGAGTACTAAAACTAGATCTCTGGAATTTATACAACCAGCATCATCATGCTCTGCTTTGCATGAATTTATAATGGGCAATGATTATGCCCAGTGGAAAAGTAGTGAATAGGGCAAAGCATGAATACTTAGGAGAAAGCATAATTTTCTGCCCTGACCGTGGTCCTAGTTCTGCTCTCCAGGCAAACTCAGAGACCAATGTGTTTTAGAAATTGACATGATCATTGTTTGTTTGTACAAGCCATATATTTTAGCATACACACACACACACACACACACACACACACACACACACACACACACATATATATATACATATATACATATAAACATATATATGTATATGTATCTATGTATTGTATATACATATATCTTCTGAGAGCTGGTATAATATTTATATCTAAGATGTATGTTGAATTTTGTAGGAAACACTACATGCTACTTTCTACCATTTACTGCATGGTTTTTTGATATGGTAACAAATAGCCATGGAAGGGTCCTTTTCTCTTCAGACAAGTAAACTGCTCCACTATTGGAAATAGTTTCAAACCTCATCTATCAGACAAATGTGCCACAGTGTATTTTAGCAGTCATGCATAGCTACTTACAATTTCAAAAAAAAAAAAAGCAACAACAAAAAACTATGCATGGAATTCAATTGTTCTTGTGTGTTGTTGTTTTGACTATGAGTCTGTATAACTGAAACACCTTGAGGAATATTTTCTGATCTAAAAATGTGGATGTTATTATGTATATGAGACATATTGCCACATTTCTACCTATAGGAACTGTGTATTTTAAAAATCTTTCTGTGTTGTTTGTTCATATACAAAACAATGCATGGATGTTTGGTGTTAGAATCTGAGCAAACCAGTAATGTAATCATTAAATTTTATACATGGAATTTGTACTTCTTGTCCAGAATGAACTAATTTTTCTACAAAAACAATTCCATGCATAGAAATAGCTAAGATACAGAAGAAGATTCTGTAATTCAGAAGACCATGATTAGGTTTTCCTTACCAGCATTCCTGAACATCAATGGGACTCAAGAGATATAACTGACTTTTGGTCCTGCTCAGAACTTTATTATTTTGTTCTGCTTTCAAAGGTAAGGACAAGACACATCTGTCTCATCTCCCTATGAGCTGCTGCTATTTGATGAGAGGGACTTTGATGGGAACACATATAAATTTGGTTTCTTGTGTCAATAGAATAAAAGAGTGTCTACATATCTGAGCTCCTACACAAGCCGTTGTGGGCCAGGCTTTCTTGGATGGGGATTCACTGTGGAGTATGCTTTGCCTCCAGAGAGGAAAACAAGATTTGATTTTGTTTATTTTCTAAAATAAATTAAATTGAATGATCATACATTTCCCAAGGGAGACCTGAACCAATCTCTGATGGGATGGCAGGTTACAATAAAGTAAGAGGCTTTTGTTTACTTTGACATTTCCTCTGATGGTACTTGGGGGAGAGAAGGAACTGATGAATTGTTTAATGAGCAATATTGTTAAAAACCCATTTCTAAGATCATGGAGTGTTCATGGCAGGAAGTTGAGTATAATGTTCACCGAGAAGATGAACCCAGCAGTATTCATTGCTGATACATGTTTGAATATTTCTTCATCAGTCTCCTATGCTCCCTGGGATTTAAATAATAGGCTGTGAAGAAAAAAATATTTATTTTAATCATGAATCAATCAAAGTAATATGGACAGAAGTAATTATGTTTTGCACATTTCCTATTCACTACTTCTATAGTAAATAGGTACTTCACTATTTGGTACTTTCCGTTCTGTTGAGATCTAAGTATTTTCACCCTCATCTGTGTTAGATTTTTACATAACACTTATAAATAATTCACAGAATGTTTAGTAAGTGACTAGTGTGCATCAAAAAGGATTTCTAGATTAAGAAGGTAAAGAATGTCCAAATGGAATGTTTCACACCCAAAGCAAGAGTTGTTTCTCGAAGGCAGTAAGTAATGTGCATGTCTTGCCAAACTGTACCAATCCTTTATGTTTCATATTTCTTTCAGCTTCTGCTGTCTTCTCCTCCCTTGGAACTCTTGGGCTAGTCACCTTTGCAGGGTCCAGTCAGGCTTGTGCAAATAGCAGTCAGTTTTTCTCCCTGCCCTCTCCATCTAGAGGAGCCTGGTGCAGCTTGCTCAAATTTTGACTTTTAGAATGACAAAATGTTGATTCCTGTTCCTGTTCCTCTTGAGAAAATCAAAGCTCCTGGGGAGAGAATGTGTTCTATAGCCTGGCCACTGCTCTTGTTGCTCCTTTTCTTCCCCATCCCAGACTTCTGATTTTGGTCCCAGCATCTCTTTGTTTCCTCTGATGGCACTTCCTGAATAGCACACTTTTCCTTACTGCTCATATGCCAGCATCAGCCATCAACCCCTCTCCCTTAAATTTAGCTTCTACTCATCTCACCTTCACATTTCAATTTATAGAGCTTTCCCCGATCCCTTCTTCATTATAATCCTTTGCACACACGTTCTTTGAATATAGCCATTTGTTGTCATTCTTCATTTCAGCATGATATTAAATTTCATTGACAGCAGAGGATGGGATTTTCATTCCCACAAACTAGATTTTATTTGCCTTGGGATGTAATTGGCAGAAAGGCTGAGAGGAAATGTTAGATCTGACTCCCTGAATTTCTTTTGCATCTCTGGATTCCATTCTTTGTGTTTAACAAGCTCGCTGCCTCCAGCTTGGCTTCCTTAATTCCATTCATTAATATATTTATTCATTTATTCAACAAATAAGTGAATGAGCAATTTACTCTAAAAATACACATGAAAAACACTTTCATTGCCACTACGATGTGCTGGGAATTCAGTGGTGAGCAGAGTTTCCAGGCCTCTGATTTGGACATTTATGAGTATAGGGCTGGGAACTGACATGGACACTGCACTCAGCTTAATGTTGTGTGTGCATTATCTAAGAAATCCTAATAATCCTTGGAGCGGAAGTCCATTTCTTGATAGACTAAAAAACATGTGCTATTGGTAAAGATTTTGAGATGAATATGGTCCCTGCTTTTAGGGGAATACTGACATGAACAAACAAGTTAATGAATAAAAAGGAAAAATGTCAATGAAAGGTGCCAGAAAAAAATCTTAGTGACAATATTAACTTTGATGGCCAGAGTGAAGCCTTAAGGTAACATTTAGAGTTGAGATTTGAGTGGTGAAATTTACCACATAAAATACTGGAGAGCATTCCAGGAAGAGATGGGCCACAGGTACAAAGATCTTAGGTCAAAGATGAAATTAAGGAAACACTCTTCTAAAGAACATTGAAGCAAAATGAAGTATGGACAAACCTAAATATTGGCCATTGAGCTGATGTAGTCAGTTATAACACTTGCCACCAAGCCAGAGGACCTCACCTGCATCTCTAACCTATATTGTGGAAGAAGAGAACTGACCCTTGCAGTCCATTTTCTGATATCTACACATGGACCACAGAATACATCCTCCATCCCCAAAGAAATAAAAATAAATACCATAAAGATTTATCTGGGCCAGAATATCAGAGCTAGAGTCCAGCATTTGCTTTCTGTTCTGATTGAAGTAGGAAGCCATTATGTGGTTTATGGTGAGAACATTAAATTTGATTTACATTTTACAATCTCACTCTTTTCAATTATAGGATGAAAGCAGGAACAGATGTAAGAAGGTGACTGTACATGTGGGGACATGTTCCTGCGAATCACTGAAGCTAGATGGTGCACAGGTGCCTGGCAGAGAGAGGAAGTAAACACTTTATGTGTGGAGAGATACTGACTGAATGTGGAAGGTGAAGAAAAAGAGGGACCATGGAAAATGTCTGCCTTTTCAACTGCCCCATCTTTTGCTGAGGCAAAGATGATTAAAATAATTTTAGGGACAGATAACTGAGTGCTTAGTCTTGTATAGCTAGCTAAATTTTAGGTCACTTTCTGAGAGCTTTACACTGTGAGAAGCATTTCCTAAAGGTACATAGGTATCAAAGTGCCAAAGTAAGTACATACATACAATTAACTGTGAGAAAAGAGACAATGTGGGATTTATTGCTCTCCACAATACATGGTTTTTACTCAATAATACATCCTAAGCCCTGTGGCCTCTCTCAGAATTCAACATATGAAATTCTGAAAATGGATGTGTATTCAGCAAAGAGGAAGTACACATTCCACCATGTGAGAGAACACACTATTCCTACACATTGCTTTACATATTCCATTGTTGGTAACTGAATAGAGTTCTCAGTGCTCCACTTCACCAATGTTATATGACAGAAGCCACATTCCCTGACAATGCACAGGATGATTGGACTTAATAGGGTGTGGTGATATTTTGTTTGTGCTCTAACAAATAAAGCTTTCCTGGAGATCAGAGTGTGGAGCTAGCCACTAGTTAACCATCGAGGTCAGACAGTGATGTTACACACCTTTAATCACAGCACTTGGGAGGAGGGAGCAGGAAGATCAGGAGTTCAAGGCCACCCTGGGATACAGACGATTGATGTAGTCTAAAAGAGTAACAGAGCCAGGAGTCAGGCTGTAGAAGCTCACACCTTTAATCCCAGCAGTAGAGGGAGGTGAAGACAGTAATGTATGGCAGGAGGAGACGGGAGCTCAGACCCCTTCAGTGTGAGGACTTCTAGAGGTAAGAAGTTTCTCTAGTGACTGAATACTTTACTTCTCTGATCTTTCACTGTTTACCTCTGTATCTGACTCAGGATATTTATTATTAAGGCCAATTAGAATTTGTGCTACAATAGGTGTCATTCTTTCTGCCTTAAACATCCTTTTGAATGCAAGTGTGTGGAGTTCTTCCAACTGGGAGTGCTGGTATCCTAGTTTGCTTTCTGTTGTTACATTAAAACACTGACAAAAACCAACTTGAGAGAAGAATCTAACTGCCATCTAGGTTCCAGCCTATCACTGAGGGAAGCTAGGAGAGGAATTCAAGACAAAAACCTAGAGACATGAACTGAAGCACAGGCTAAGGAGGAACATTACTTACTGGCTTGTTCTCCATGACTGACTCAGCTTCTTTTCTTATACAGCTTAGGTCCATTGGCCTAAGGATGACACTGCCTATAGTGGACTAGAGCCTCCTACTTCAATTACGAATTATGAAAATGCCCCATAGAGACATACCAACTGGCTTATCTGATAGAGGTAATTCTTCTACTGTGGTTCCTTCCCAGGTGACTCTCTTTAGGTCAAGTTGATAAAAACTAACCAGCATACCTGGTTCCAGATAAAGCTGTTGCAGTTCATCACGTGCCATGTAGCATGAAAGGGAACTGCCATCCAGGATGTTATAAAATACTCACATGACCTTTGACATAACATATTATCCATGATCTGTCCATCTTGGGTACAGAAAGTACTTCTAGAGGAATTCAAAAGTGTGCAAGTCATATATTGTTGCATATGTAAGTAGCATAGAGATATAGGTAAACATTGATATGACAAACCCATTCCCACTCCATACCTTTATTTGCTATGTAAGAAAGAACAGTTTGAAACACAAAGCAGTGTGAGAGAGGCTTGCCTGAGTGTGGAGGTTGGGCTCCAACGTTCTGTAAGTTCACTTGTAAGAGCCTGCACCTTTTAACCACTGTAGAGATGGATAAAAAAATCATACAAGCTTACTGTTGCCCCTGGAATATGAGAATTTCACAAAAGGAAAGAAAAGAACGAGTAGCTTTAATTGAGATTTGCAGAGACACAGTATCAAATAGGAGAGGGCTTCTGAATAGCCCCCTCTGCTGCCCTCAGACTTCCCCTTCACACTCTCTAGACCATTCTCTGCTGACTGCAGTTTCTCCACAGTGTCACCAAGGCCCTCTGCATTGTCTCCATTCTATCACTGTGCACAGAAAGCTAAAAATATATATCTCACAGATTTGTGTTATGCTAAATGATCATTTAAATGCTTAGATCAGAACCCCTGGAATTTTCCATCTGCCTTTCGTCTGCTGGGCTGGTTGTGAAAGGTACCACTAAGAAACTCCCTGTGGGCTGATTTTGCAGTGGGTGTAACAAAAAAAATCTGTAGCTAACATTTGCAGCTTGCAGAAACAGAGGAAGGGGACAGTTCATAAAAGATGAAAATTCAGATCAAAGACATATAAATACGCATCAAAGTTTGATCTCAATATCCTTTTTAAACAATACATTGGCACATTTTGGGGATCAGTGTTTCTGGGTTTCCTCATAAGGAAAAACATCTTCTTAACATGTTTTAGGGAAGTTGATCCAGGTTTGAAAAGGGTAGAGACAGCAAATAGACAATTTGAAGGCAGGAATAGGAATGGGCAGTGGAGACAGATGCTTTTAAAGTCAAATATCCTGCTGATGAAAAGCAGAAGGTGATTACACATGTAGGATTTTGCATAGAGAAACCATCCCAAGCACGGGGGGGGGTTTGTATATAACCACAGTCTTGCTTTTTGTTTTCACTTATACAAAGACACCCCCAAACATGGAGATCATTAAACAGAATGTCCAAGGCAAATTAAGGAAAATAATTATTGTAGCTGATGAAGCAGAAACCCTATTAGAACTAAATGCTCCTTCGGAGGTAGAGGTACTGGGAAAAAATGCATTTTTCAGCATCTTTAATATGTATATTAAATTAAGCTTTTAACTACTTTTCTTCTCCTTCTTTTTGTTTTCTCTTCCTGGCCCTCGCCCCTGCTCTTTCAGGCAGATGGTACCTGGGAGGAAGTCCACAGAATATACTATAAGGAAAGAGTCACTGGAATGAAAATCTATCTCCTAACACTTTCGCTCTAAGACAAAAAGTAAATAAAATCATAGAGGAGTGATGAACGGTGGAAGACTGTGACTGGGTGACAAGGATGACCTGACATCCCAGGAGGAGGCTTCTGAGAAACAGAGGGAATTCTGAAGCTCACCTGCTTGGCTTTCTGTTTTCACTGAAGGGGGCTAGGCAGTATACCTTTGTTTTCTATTCTCACCCTCTTCACAGAGAGGCAGACTTCTTGATTTGGGTGGGATTCATGAGTGCATTCTTGCTTAACTAAAGTATTATGACAATTCTATTAAGATCATTGTTGTTCATGTGTTTTTCTGTATGATATTGGGTGTCTCTAAATGAGTTTATGTTGTTAGGTATTTAGAAGCTTGATAAGTATATATGATCAGATATTATACTTGTATGCTCTGTGAAGCTCAGCAACATTCACTGTTCATAATCATAAGACACATGTGATTGACACAGAGAGAAACCCATGTTGTCTGACATTTTGGTTTGAAGATGGTCTGGCAGCCCTGCAAATCACTGTGACTCACTACCATCTCCAAATGCATTGAGATCATCAGCCTTACAGTGCATGCCCTGAGGCACCTACATATATAGTTCCCACAAGGACCTTAGGCAAAAGAACACATGGGTTTCAGCTAGTCCTTTCCTATCCCTGGTGAACCTCAGTGCTCTTCAATAGACATCATTAGTTGTCTATTCAAACACAGAACTGTGAGTGTGAGGACAGGTACCAGGGAAGGAACCTGCAACTTACCACTTTAGAATCTGAATCAAACTTTGTATATAACAAGCATTCTCTAAGTCCTTAAAACTTACATAATTATAGCAATGCAATAAAGCTGTTCAACTTATTTGTCATACAGTCCAGGATCTTGTCTTTTAAACACCACTGACAAAGAGCTTGGGGCTCCTAAGCACTGCAGGTACATTTGTAGAATGGATCATTCTACAAATGCTAAAATGTATGTTGGCTAAGAGACCTCAACCTTCTCCGAAACTTATAAAGGAAAAGATTAGAGCTATTGCTTGCCAGCTAATACAGTTACAGGGCAGTCTCCATGCTGTTGACATGAATCACTAGTCTCTCTGCCATCTAGTTGTGACATCTGCAGGGGGCATCCAACATCAAACATTAGATGTGATCAGAGACACAAGAGATTTCCTGTCTCCACACAATGCCTGTAGCTGAGGCTTAATTTCTGCAAATCACATTCCTAAGTGCTTGGCATAAATCAATATATTTATTTCTCACAACTCTTAACATTAAGTAGGTGTTATCCTCATTTTACATATGAGCAAATCAAGGCAGAGTGTGATAAATACCTTGCCCAGAATCACAGATCTTGTGAACATACTAGTTGGATTTCCTCCATAGAGCTAGGCTTTACCACCCAGGTCTGTAACACACACACAGATCATTGCTTCTGGTTGATGATTTGTTACAAAAATCAAAATCAGAATCATATGAAGAATGAATCTTATAACTTTTATATTCAAAAATAATGTTAAGAAATTTCAAATTGTTTTAAACATGAGTGATCCCACTCTGTTGGACCTACTAAGGTCCCACTCCATCTGATTCAACTTGTCAGCAAGTGAGAATCCCAGATTTTTCCATTCCAATTAGCAGAGAGAAAGAGGTACAGCTACACATGCCTCACCATATTACATCCAGAGGCTTGGTGTGGGTGTTTTCTGGGATGACTTGCCTCTCTCTATGCTTTGAGTGAGCCCAGAGTACCTGCAGTGCTTAGGAGCCCCAAGCTCTTTGTCAGTGGTGTTTAAAATGCAAGATCCTGGACTGTATGACAAATAAGTTGAACAGCCTTATTTCAAAGCCCTGTCCTGTTCTTCAAGCTCCTATGAGTCTGGCAGACCCCGTAGGCAGGGATGGGATGCATAGGGGCCATGATGATACATATTCAGTAGTGAAGGAGACTTGATTCTGCACCTTGCTGGTTACAGCTGCCAGCTTGTGCGCGATCGATGGAGAGCTTTCTTAATGATGTGGAATTCACTCCTGGCATGCTCTGCACAAATACATAAGCAATGTATTATCAGTGCCCTCAACGACAGGATTGTCCAGATGGGATTCAGTTCAAAGCCGGAATTGTCTTTCCCTCTTTGTACCCTTATAATTGGAATATTGTTGATCAGATTCTGCTTTTAATAAAAGTGGCAGAGCAGACGGCATTTTTCTGGAACAATTTACTTGGCAGCAGACAGTAAGAACATCAGATGATGGAAGTAATAGAATAAGGGTAGATGGTACAGCAACCCAGGGGAAACCATGTTACAGAGTCCTGGAGTACACATGGCAGGAGGTGGAAAGGCTAGGGATTATCCCACAGGCATTCCTGGGTAAGATACATACATAGATTCAGTTCTGAAAATGGAGTAGTATAATAATCCCATAGACAAATGTAGGGTCTTAACATCAAATGTCCGTTTAATATTCAAGCCTGAGCTTTGCATTGAAAAGACCGAATTGCATGAGAAGTGCCTAGAACTGGTAGACACTGAAACCCAATGCAACAGCAAATAAATCTGGCAGGGCAATTTAAAGCTGAAAAGAAATAGAAAGATAAATGATGTCATAAAAGATTCACAGGGGCGTTTTTTAACTGAACTGCTAAATATTTTAAAACAGAATAGCCAAGGCCATTTTGTATTAGAAACCCAAATGAGTGGCTCTCTCTGTTTATTAAATTTAGTGCACTTCGTGTTTATCAAGCACGTTCTGTCTGGAAGGTACTGTTTGAGCACTGAAGTACTGAAAGGGTCCTAGTAACCAAGGAGATTGCTGACAAGTACGGAGATGAAGAAAGCAGTAAGTTAGAAAAGGATGTGTGGGTGAGAAATCTTACACGGTCAATCTTGCAAGCTAGGATTATGGAAAAGGCATGTACAGGTCACAAGCTGTTCATTAAAGACCCAAATGGCTCTGGATCCCAAATGGGGTGAGAGTTCTAGCCAAAGATACACACACACACACACACACACACACACACACACACACACACACACACATATTAGAGATCATAAGTTCTAGCCATATATATATATATATAGAATTAGAGATCATAAGGAGTTCAAGCACTTATTACTGAAGCACCCTCCCATATTGAATAGGGCTAGGCTATTCTAGCTTTCTGTGTTTTTGGAGGTGTTTGAAAAAAAGAATAAGAATCAGGGCAGCCAAAATCAAAACACAAAATGGCAGGTTTCTGTACTTATTTTGCATGACTGTGATAGAATAGCTGGTGGAAAGAATTTATAGGAAATGTTATTTTGGCTCACTGTTTCGTAGGTTGCTGTCCATCATGGAAAGCTGTACTGGTTCTGGGGCTATGATGAAGCAT